GAGACGCGCAGAGCTTGAATCAACGGGACATCCTACTCATACAACGAAAATAGTTAAAATGCATAAATGAAATACACAGAATACCAAAAATACAAATGAGAACTTTCAGATACTTTAAGGTAACAGTTCTTCATAGTACACAAATGTTTTTTTCATAAGGAAGATAAGGAATTTTGTGTTTTAATGGGATTCTACATTGGATGGAAGGTTTAGTTTACTTCCCTGACATCAACAAGAGATAATCTACATGGTTTAGTAACTCTCCTAAGTCATATTATAAGAGGTGATTACACATTTTGGCGTCTCAAGTTTAAGCGGAGTGAATGATAACGGTGAGACTTCAAACTAAATTCTTACCGAAATCCCCTTGCAGTCCTGATTACATTTTGTTCCATAACAGTCAAGGAAGGTATTGTATCTTTCCAAGACTAGGAGGGACAGTATTTTTCTAAGTATATCACACATATTGAAGTTCATGTGAATATACAGATAATTTTTTTCTGTGCTTATTCATTAAAGATTAATTATTTTTATGATAATTTATGAGACAAGTCTGCTTGTTCACCAACACTAGGACATAAAAGTGTGAATTGACAGACCTTTTTATCACTCTTAGCCATAATTATTTATGCACATCACACTTTCTTTTTACTTCAAACTTCAAGACATTAAGAGTTCTTGATGGTTAATATCTGGTCAAAGGGGAGTGCTCATTGGGCTATAGTACTGATCTAGTGTTCAGGAGTTTGAACCTCTTTAGTGCCATGAGAGATTATTCCTTTCGCACTGGGGGAGGTGGTGACCTATAGGATTTGTAGCTCATGGCTATGCATCCAATATCTATCCATCTTGTTATATCATTAATGAAATCTAACAGGAAATAACATTTGAATCGGCTTTACCATTCATTGGATATTGTTAGGGTTAAACAGTGTGCCAGTCAGCAATTACAATACCTCAAATGCCAGTAAATATAGATATGTACTTAACATGGTCTAAAATGTATGATACATTTTAATCAGGTGATCCATTTATTTGCTCCCTTCACAACTAAACTTTATGATTATCCCTTCAACACACTTCTTTGTGATGTACATATTTGAATAAAGCATGATTGATGAACAGAGTTTATTGTGACAAATGCAGAAAAGTTATAAATGAAAATTAATGACTTCACAAACCACAATTTGAATGACAGGATTCAGTTGCTTACATTTCTTATGAAGATTTAATTGAAAATTTTTCATTTAAACTCTTACAAGGCAATTTATATGGATATTAGAAACTTGTATGGCTAATATATTAAGGCATGAAAGTTAAAGCACAGGCCGTATTTTGGTTGTACAATGCAGATCCAAAATGTGGATGAGAGACATTTAATTTATATATTGTATTTATCTAAAATAAGACCACATGCAGGTATCATAAAATAAATAATACTACCATATGATATTGTGGCATCCATTAATATATACCATTAATTGATAAACAGAAGTGAAGGATTATGGTACAATTACATAATAAATAGGTACCCACAGTGACTCAGGGCCTATGTTCTTAACACAAGCCAACAAGTCTATCTCATGTATATTCCAGGAAGATATAGTTTGTAGAGACTCCCTGTTGATTTGACAAGTAAGAAACCAGTCAAAGTTATGTACTGCTTTATATACTGTATATAGAATGGCCTTTTCTAAAATTCAGAGGCTTTGCCATTGCTTGATCCAGTCCTATTTTGGACAGTTAACATGATTCATGCTTGGTTCTCAATTTTGTTTTAAAATGTCACTAAAGTGTTAATTTTTTAGTTTTGTAGCAGAATCTTTATGTATGATAGAAAATTTAGAATAATATTTTTGGATGTTTTGATATTTATTCCCCTTGCTTTCATATGTAGAATTAAGTGTTCCTTCAAGAATTTTGGTAACTTTTTATGATACACCTCTAGCATAACTGTTAAATTTCATATTCAAATAGAACAGTTGTCCACATATACTTTCCTTTACAGTGCATGTAAAAGTCAGCCAGAAGATCTATTTTTAACTTGTTGAACTGTTGATTAATGGTACCCCTGCAGTCATCTAAGTTTTTGGATGTTTGGTTTTCTAACAAAAAGTAAATATGTGCCAGGCATTGCCTTCGTAGAAATTACAGTCTCATTAACTTTCATTAGTCACCTGAGGTCTCAGTATCTCAAGAGTCTTTATTCGCATTTTTTCAAAGAAGTGATATATATATTAGATGAAACTGCTTCAATGTTAAATTGCAAATTCCATAGTTTAGGTCACAACTAGTATTGCAGATAAGTTTTAAGAAATATTTCTGGATCCTAAAATGGAACCTTTGATCACTTACTTTGTTCTTTGGTGTAAGTTAAGCAAGAGCATTATTTGTGGTTCATCTTGGGGGACTGCACATCAGGTATTTTTGTTGGACATGTTGAGATATTTTAAGTAAGATATTTTAAAAGTTTTTTAATGATTATCTTGATAATGAGGAGTGTGGTTTATCATACAAAGTACCATTAAAAGATTATAGATAATGATATTAATTAAAAAAGGAATACATTTTTTGGAAGAGTACTGATGGTATAGTTAATCAACACATGGAGTATTAATTTTATTTTTTTAATTTTTCCAATAATATAGGGATAAGATATTAGGTTTGTACATATAATAAACTGTGTGTATTTTTCAGTTACAAAGAAATGTCCAGTGAAGACGACCTACAACTCCTTGACCAGCAGTTGGATTCTCGCCTTCAGCGTCTCCAAGACTTATGGATATCATCCAACAATGAACTTGTAAAGTCTTATAAAGTATCTGCTAAGTTCAAATGGTTTACATTAGTAACAGAACATGAAGATTGTTGTGATTTACATCATTTTGTTATGACCACATTTTACAACTACCAGTCTTGGTCAAGAGAAGACTAATTTAATTGTTAAAAAAATTATAGAGCTTTGAGTAAAAAGGAGCAAGTGCTCAGTCATCTTTATATTTAATAATTGCTTATATTCTGATATATCCTTTATTACTATTAACTTTAGATTTAAGATTTGTAAACATAATCTAATGACTGATATTGTGCACAAATTAAGGGCTACATTATTTTATAGGTTACAACTCAGCAGAGAGTTTCCCAAGCATCACACAGAGAACCAGAAGACTGCCTGAGCAGGACCAGTGAGACTATTACTTGTCAAAAGTTCCACCAAAAATATACTGTAGAAGAGACATTGAATCAAAGAGATGCTGTCAGCAATACAACTGCCCCTTTTTTACATGGAGATCAAAACACTTGCACTGAAAATGCAGAGCATCTCTATGGAGATACAAAAGTAACTCAAGAGGAGTACCAGCCATCAGTTTATATAGAAAATGATAAAACTTGTAGCACAGAACAACAGAATATAACTGAGATAAAAAAGAGACAGTTCTCCACATCTGTTGTAGAAAACTCTAATGAGCACGTTATTGGAGAAAAGCAGGAAGCCACAGATGATCTCCTTGAAGAAGGGGAAGAAAATGCCATATTTGATGAGTTTCTGGACCAGTCAACAAGGTACAGGATAAGTTCATTGTGTAAGAAAGTGACCCATCTCAATGGAACCATCAGTGTGCTACAGGAAGAGTGTAAAAGACTGGTAAGTAATGCATAGATAGTAGATTATCATTTGATCTCGAGTTGTCTAAAGGAAATTCATATTTGGTATTCACAGAAGTCAAACCACTTTTCAGAAGAATGGTGGATTTCTTTTTTAATAAGATCACATTCATCATGTTTGTCTTGGTTCGGAGATATTATACCTGCCCACCATTTCAGTCACATGACAATGCTATCAGTATAGCATACCTTTCCCTTTATTTATTTTATTTTATTATTATTATTTTTTTAAGATTTTAAAATTCAGAACTTAAGAGTACCATTATATGAATTACATACTTGACTCCTAAACACATAAAATCAACTCGGAGCTATCCATAGTTTTCAGAAAGGCAATGAAAGACCTTTTACTTGTTATAGTCATAGATGAACTAAATATAGATACAAATATTAGCCATTGATCTGTGAATGTATATGGAAGTGGAATGATCAAATAATTTGAGTGTTATTTTCAATATGCCAGTCACATCAGTTACTTTAATTTGTTATTACTACTACATGATGTAAAAGGATTGAACAGTAGATAGCTTGTTCTGTATGTATGTGTGTGTGTGTGTGTGTGAGAGAGAGAGAGAGAGAGAGAGAGAGAGAGAGAGAGAAGGACAGTAACTGTTGTATTTGTGTTATAATAAATTCATTCAGATGAAATTAATTGCTTCCATTTGTTCCCCTTTTTTCTTTTTGATATAATATCTTGTATTTCTAAAATAATATTGGGAAGCAGAAATCTAATCAACAGGGTTGTTTAGCAACATCATTTTAAATACTATAAGAAGGGACAGCTTTTATGTGAGAAGTAAAAGCAGAAATAAAAGTAGTGACATGGATTACCTATCTTCCTTTCACAAATACATTCACATGTTATTAAGTGCAAGACAGTTCAAGCTAATAAGTGATAGAAATAAATCAGATTAATTCTAAAGCTATATTTAAAACAGCTCATTTATTTCACCATCCTTACCATAGAGGAACACCACTCCACAATCATTCATCAGAAGGAAAGCAACATTCACCATAGCCCTTTCTTTCAGTCAAGTGCCAAGAAGGAAGCCTGCACCAAAGCTCACACTGCTGAGACAGAGAGGAGGACCTTGAACAAACAGGTGCTTCTTCTACAGCAGCAGACCACCAAACTCCAAAAGTCCAATAAGCAGCTTCAAGATCGTGTTCAGGAGCTGAATATTGAATGCCAAGGATTGCGGAAGGTAATAAACATTTTGAGGAAAAAGAGGGAACAGACAGAGAAGGAGAGAAAGGGAGAGAGTAGTATCATGCAAATGTAGTAGATGGGTGTTTTTACTACATAACAGGTCTTTTCTCTTTGTGGAGGAGATGAGATGTGGATGTGAGGGTTCATTGTGATGGAGGGCAGAAGTGGAGTTCTACAGGGGTACTGGAGAGGCTCCCCCAGTCAGTGGAGGAGAGCGCTGTCCTGTGTCACTGCTAAACTGGTGAAGTGTGCTGGAGTGAGTTCTGTGTGTTTTCTGTTTAGGATCCTGGAGTTTAAGTAGGTTGGGAGGCATGTCAAGAAATTGGAAATAAGGGGAGCCTGCTTGAGTAGTCCAATCAGAGCACTGCAAAGTGTCTGCTGTCAACTAGTCAGAACTCAACAGTGAGTCGCAAGCTGTGCCTGCTGATGACTAATCAGGACAGGGCTGGTGAATGCATCATGTAAGAATGTGTGTATTTTATTTGTAGAGTTTTCTAAATTTCATATAAATTGATCCTATTTACATGATATTTATATCATAGATCCCATAGTTTTGTTCTTTTATTATCATAAAAATCTTATATGATAGGTTTTGTTATGTATCATATTCTTAGCTGTTTTGTACTGTTCTGATGATTATCATCATCTTGGTTTTACATTTCATTTTCCACTCAAGAAGCTGGACATTGTCTAGCTTTCCTCAGTCTTCTGTTCCAAGTTTGATGATCTTTTGGGTTAGTGGCTGTCGTTTCCCAGTTCTGATCACTTTTTATGGTTTCCATCAAGGTCCTTTTGGGACATCCAGAGCCTTTTGTATAGATGATTTCTCTTGATATGTTTATACTATTACAATCTCTTGCCTCTGATTACGGGTTCCATATTAGAGATACCAAGCATATCCAGGAGGCTCTGTGAGTAGGTTTGCTAGTCATTTTTTGTGTTATGCATCCATTGTGTCAATGCCATTTATTTAGCAGAATCTTAGCAAAGCTTTAGTGACTGGCCAGGTTTCATTACCAAACAGCATGATGCTCTACACATACGTTTGGTCCTCTGGTCATGAGCAATAATGTTCTGGTGTTCAGTATAGGTATGAGTTTCCTGAAGTTTCCACATGTTGGTTCTGGTGACTGAGGTTAGCTCACATCCTCTGCCATGCTAGTACTTATCATATCTCCCAGATAACATTTCCACTAGCTCCAGATCACTCATTTCTACTCATACTTGGTGGGTCTTCCATAGTGAGTTAAGCTTCCCCACTGTTTCATTTTCATTTGAAGCCGGGGGTCTGCTGTAGATCTTTTTTTCTCCAGATGGTATTGATACCTTCTCTTTCCACTAGAGATTTCCTGAGTCTTTGAGTGTATGTTAGGGTCTGGATTGATAGTTTTGATCTTAGCCAGTAGATCCACCACAGAAAATTTTGGCTGAGACCCAGGGTAATGGGAATGTCTTGTCATGAACTGTTGTTGCCAAGTGGCAGGCGATACAGACATCTCACTGAGTGCACAAAGCTCTTAGAGGGAGATTAGACTCTATATACCTTTAGAGGCTCTTGCATTATTGCCACCAGTAAATAAGGGTGGAATTTAGTGTTCCAACTCCAGGGAGAAAACTATTTCCTATTCCTGCTCTCCTTGACCAGCAGTCCAGAGTGTGTTATTGAAAATTGAATCTTCCAAATATATGGACTACTCAATGAAAACGGTCTATTACCATCCTGATAGAGCATAACAAATGACAAATATTGATCTCAGAAAATTGTAAAACAGCTAAGAATGCATATACAGAATAAGAGCTAATAGCATTATAAACAGGAGGCAAGGAATCTTGATACCACACATGAGTGTTTGTCTGGGTTAGGTGTACAAACCACACACCCAGGAGAGTCACCACTGAAGTAAGCCTAATATCTAGATTTTGGTCGACATCTCTTAGCTGTGGGCCATATTATTAGGATTTGTGAGAGGACATGACAATTATAAGAGAATGTGGAAGAAGAGAGATAAATGGAAGAGAATTCTACCTAGAATGACATCCAATATATGTGGCATGGCCTAAAAATTAAGCATTTTTATAGTGAAATGTAATTGAGTGAGCTTCATATGTATTTGAAAGACTTAGATTAGATTAGATTTCTTTCTCTTTATATACACAAATGAAACGATAATCTAGACATCTCATTTGAGTACAATTAAGTTGACTTTACCAACAGTAATGCTATAAATTTGATTTCTTTTTGAGATTTTTTCATTGTTACTGATTTATTCAAAGGCTTTTATTAGAATAAATTATATAAGGGTACCTCAGAAAATTATGCAGGACTTTGGACATCTTGCACTAGATATAGGCAATGACTTGGGGGTATAGAGGATTTGTATTGATTATCAAAGCTTGTAATACATGGAGCTTAGAGTTTTCTTTTCTTTTCTTTCTTTTTTCTTTTTCAAGTATTTTCAACAGAAAATTATTATATCAAACTCAGACATTTGGTTGAGAGATACAGCTTCTATAGGACTGTTGTATCTTGCCTAATATATGTACAAATATATAAAGACCTTCACCTATAACACCTAAGAACTTCAAGTAGTTCAGCTTGTTTGTGCCCCCAGCTGCAATAAAAACCTGATTCTTCAAGTTTCACTGAGACAAATTTTAGTTGCTTGTATTTCAAAAGCTCTGTTTTGCATTTCAGAAAATGTGTATTTCATTGTCATATATCAGATACGTATATGATAGAATTTTAATTATATAAAATTATGTCTATATAAAAATTATTATATTATGTAAAGTTATAAAGCTATCACAGTTGTCCCATTGGCATGAATGAAAAGGAGATCATTAAAATTTACATGTAGATAAATTGCACATACAACAGCAAAAGCATTTTTTATCATAAAAAACAACAGAATATGCATTTAGATGTTCAGTATCTCAATATATGAATTGTAAAAATTCAGTGATAGAGCAGGAGGTAATTGTGATAAATAATTATATTGTGTTTTAAGGGGGAATGTGGGAAAGGAAAAGATTGGGTGTTTGGCTGGATGTACTAGATTTATTAGTCCACTTTAGCTACAATTCATTCACAAGAAAAAAAGAGGCAGGAAAACGTGACTGTGTGAACAGCTCAGGGAGAGGAAGGCCTACAAGTGGAATGGGGGTATTAGAGTAATGTCATGCATATGGCTGGCTAAAAGTATTATAGTGGTTAAATATTTATAACAATATAAATAGTAACTCTTAGTGAATTAAAAGAATAAGTAATTAGATTTATTTTTATATGTTAGTGTTTTGGAGAAAGGCATGTTATAAATATTCTAAAATGATAACTCCTAAATTATATTAATTTTCATTTATGAAAATTCATATAGTATGATTGAAATTATTATGTTGTAGACAACTACGAAATTAAGCTGCTCTCTCTTCTAGTCTCATGGTGATTTATTATTAGAATCACTACTGCGGTTCACATGTCATTATTTGCCCAACATTTTTTTATCATCATGTGGCTTTATGCTTTCATATGATCTCCCCCTCCAACCGCATGCCCATTGTTGAGGGGGAAGGGCATAGGAGACAGAGACTGAGGCTGAGTGCTGGGATCACCTCTACCTCAGGCCTCAGCCTCACCTTGACTAATTTTGCAGTCTTCTCTTCTTTCCTTTTCCTTTTTTTCTCAACTCTCTACTTTCCACTCCCTAAGGTGTAACAGCAGTGTTGATAAGATAAAAAGTTGACTGTGTGCCAGTCATGAACAGCCTACGGGAGCTGTTAGCACAGTATTCCCCTGTTTAGTTGTCTAACCTTTACACCTCAAGGGGACCCTGAAGGGTGGACCATTTCTCTCCCCTACATACACCAGACTTACCATGTCCAGTAATGAAGATTATGTACCTTTTTTAGAGGGAGTGAGGCTTGCCCCTTTATCAACTAGCTCCACTGATTTTAATTCCCCCAGTCCCCTAACCGCAGGCTCTCCTTAGACCACACCTCTGAACACTACTACTACCCCATCCTCATTGCCTACTCTCCATACCTTCTTCCACAAGTCCCTGTTCTTCTACTACCTCCATCTGTACAAACCTTTTGACTACTCTGTTTAGCCCAGCCAAATGGGATCTTTTTTTTTTACTCTGACAACACTCTCCTCTTCCCTCCCTCAATACTTGTACTGGAACTGTCTCCAACTCTCCAGCAGATTGCCCTGTCTACAACAAGGATTAGTCAGACTATGGAGAAGACTTATTCACCTGCATACTTGACTATAATGCATTATCAGTACAGTGCTACACCATTCCCCCTGGAGGCTGCCATAAGTCCTCCACCAATATTGCCAAAGTACTTTCCATAGACATGACCATCCCATAATGTTTATATTGGTGGAGAGGCCCTCCCTGTCTGACCATATCAACCTCCCCCTGTCATGTCAAAATTGATGGTGTCTGCCAAACACTGCCACTCCACAGTTCAATGGCCTCAGTGAGCCCAACCTGATCAAACAGGTCTTTTCAGTTGTGCACAGCATTGTTGTGGCTACACCCTTTTTCTCATCCTACTTTGACCCCCTCCCTCTCCCAGTCAAATTCTTTTGCCATTCTAAATCCAGATTCCCCAATATCTACCACTTTTCTAAATCCAGACTCCAATCTATATTTCCCTGGTACCTATCCCTCCTCCTCGCTCGCCTTATCACATAAGACAAGCTAAACATTCCACCCCATCTTCCACATCCTCTCCTACATCAGCCTCTTTCTTCGCCACTCAAACGTCTGTCCTCTTCTCTCCCCTCATAAGAAAACCTTTGTCTCTCGGACACTCCCAACCAACTCCTCTTCAGAAACTCTAGAGCACATTCAGAACTATCTAGTCATGACCTAAGATAACATGCCTACACCTCATCCTCCACTCTCTCTGCCCCCATTCTCTCTACACTCAAAGTGACTGCCAACATCCATCCTCCTCCTCATATTCCCACTACACATCCCATTCCCCCCCTGCTTCCCCTTCCCTAGACTCTCTCCCTCCTGACATGTCTCTTGAAACTTCTTTGATTTAATCACCCCTAAACCCCGCTTTCTCCTTTTGCTAATTGCTACCTTACCCTATGGACATCCTTGAAGATCCCACACTTTTTCCTTTGACAACTTTGATCTAATCACCCTAATGAATCTCTACTGTACCCCTTTACTGACCCCTCTAAACCCTCACCCCTCTTTGCCCCTTTTAATTCCATACTATCCTGAACTGCTCTATGACTTTTGATGTGTAGTACATTTAATCATCAACTAACCTTCCCTCTTCTCCCTTTTCATTACTGCACCTTCCTAAAATGCTCTATAACCTTTGATGTCTAGCAAATTGATTTTGCTTTGTAACCATTAACCATTAAGCATATCATATGATCTAGTGTTTGAGCTTAGTATAATATCATAAACACGTACATAGCTTCATTCAGTAGCAAGTGGAGAAATAGATTCTATAGAAATAACCTAGGTAAATCCATATAGTATTAAACCTCACTATTTCAGTCAGCTATATTCTCAAACATGTATATCAATTGGTAGTAGAAACTTTAGAGAAATTATTTAATATGTTTTAGTTCATTTAACCTGAAGGATATCTGAATGCAAGAAATTTATAATGTAGTTTAGTCATGGGTTCAGCTGTTGGTGGTAACAGTAGGTGGTCTGTGCCTGAGGATCCAGGAGCTGCAGAGAAGAATATGATCTTTCTTGTATTGTGTCTTTACAGCTACTAGTGTGAATTCAGAAGAAATATGCAGAAGGTAAAACAAATAAATAGTTTCAGATTTAAACCTGTATATCTTTAAGGTAGTTTGTAAAAAGCAAATGTAATCAAATCCATATTTGAAAACCTTTTAATCCATTCATGACATGGCAGAAAATCTCAAACTTTGTAACACTTATTCTCATGATTTCATTTCCCATGTGTTGGGATGAAGCCCACATGTTCAACCTTGAATTAGACAATAGCCCAGGTGTGAAACAGTTAATGTTAATGTAACCCAACCTTTACAGACACTACTCAGTATGAATGGGTTAATCTATATATTTATGGTCATGTGATGTTGGGCATGTTCTTTTGAACTCTTATTATAAGGCAATCAATCACATTCAGAAAAATGGTAAGGGGATGCTTAGAGAAAACATAATGAATAGTTGTGAGGATATGTTTGTATATGAATTCTTATATTCCACATTACCAGTTTGGAAAAAAAGTTCAGTAGCAATGTATCTTGCTGTAGAAACTAACACATTTTCAGTGCATTCAAAGATTTCATAAGATTTCACTTAGTTAATTGAGTTCTAAATAATAGAAAGTTAAAGTATAGTTGGATAATATTAACCTCTTGCCGACGGGCATGGCATGTACATACATGCCATGCCCATTGTGAGTTTACTTGTTTAATTGTTTTTACACATAGATGGCTACACTTGTACTAAATCACCAATGAGCCAGTTACGAATACCGCCTGTCTCACCCGTTCACCCTTTTCATCGATTTACAAAATTATTTAACGTTATCTTATTTTGCTGTTACAAATGTTTATAACATTTTAGTAGTTATAATGTTTATAATGAAAATAAGACCATCTATATTTAAAGCACAAGTAAATATATGTTTTTTCATGCCAGTTCAAGGAAAGGTGAAATCCTTTATGGCTAAGCACTAGCAGAGCCATCTAGTAACAGGGACATTTCACAAAAATATTAAAAATGAGCACAGAATTTCCCCCATTTTTTATTAATTTTCCCCGTTGGGAAAAGGTTAAAAAGCAGGACAAGGAACACAGTAAAGTCCCCACAAACACCAAGAAAGATGGTGGACATAGGGAAGCACACTCAGTAGAGCATTTTAGGAAAAGAAGAGCAAGTGCCAGTCAAGGGAAACAAATTTACAGGAGATGTGTTGTCAGGGGAACAAATAGAGAAGTTCTATTGACAAAACATTGAAAGACAGAAGGCCTTGATATTAATTTGATATTAATTTATATTAAGGTGTCAGAAATTCTTCCTCAGTTGGAAAGATGTGAAGACAACCTCACTAAATGAAAAATTATTTTTATCTGTGCAACTGCTATCAGCAAGAACTCATTTTTAACTATGTAGATAATTTCTCCTTGTGATTTTATTCAGGTATTGCACAGACATGGTTTTTCATGTCAAACTAGGGTATGGACCAGCAATAGGCTACTTAGTCCTTCAGACTGTTATAGAGTTTGGTTTATTGCTAGTGTATCTAACACACAGACTTCTGGTTTCCAGGAACTTTCAAGTTATCAGCATAGTGAGAGTGAGCATCGCAGCAGTCAGTCATCTTTCCAAGCCCAACTTACACGAGCTCATTCAGAAAATGCTTCCTTGCGTGAGCAGATATCTACACTGAAAAACAGGCACAAGGTTTGAGTTATTTTTTATATTAGGAATCTTTATGTCAGTATTTTTTTTTATTATTATTTTCAGTAAAAGAAATTCAAGATGAAATAAGATTCAGATTGATCTTGAGTATCACTTTTAGGAAAATAGAAGGTACTGATTGGAAATGTAAGTTCCTTTTCAAACTTTTATGTTAAAAACTGGATGTGACACATAACTGACACCTTTTTTCACATAACTTAGCCTGCTTCATTTATTATTCTTGTTCCACTTACTCAATCCAGGAAGAACTAGATCAGCTGAGAACAGCCTTAGGAAGTAGCAATAGCAAGGTAAAAGAGTTGGAGAGACAGCAGAGGAACATGAGTGCTTTGGTTAAGAAGCAGGACAAGCTTATTGGAGTTATTAATGAGCAGAAAGTAAGTTCTGAGAAATATGATAATTTTACCTCAATTTTAAAGTTTAAACTGTAGAGCACTGAGATTCATGCTTTGCTTATAAGCATAGCAAGTTAATCTAAAGTAGTGTAGATAAGTGTTACATGTTTTATATATAATGCAATAAATCCCAACATCCTTTCCAGAACAATTTAGCAGCAGCCAAAGCAGCAGCAGGGCTAGAGGAGAAATTTTTAAACATCATCACACCACTACAGCCTCCATAGATTTTACTTTGTAATATATTCATAAGAAAGAATAGGGACATAGAATAATCTGTTCATAGTGCCTTTGTCTTCTGTAGAATCTTCTTTTACCCCATTTTTCTAGAATGAGAAGAGCTAAGACAGATTGAATAGGCTAGGGTTTTATTCCTGCTTTCTTCTGTTTCTTGGAAGTGAACTAGATCTCCACTTCTTCTTGTTCTTCCCTTCTTTTTCATTCTTTTTTTCTTCACAAAGCAAAACAAAGATTATCTTTAACTCATTATAACTTTAGAAATATCTTGCCTTGGTGGCTATCATTGTACCCATTCACTGGCTTTAAGATTTGCATTGAATCTATATATGATAATAGAAAAGAACAGAATATATCAATAACTTAGCCATAGACCAAGAAAACTTAGTCTGGGACCTCCTGAATAGCAACCAAAAGTTACAGAAATTTTCCAATAAAGGAAATAGGTATGGTCTCCCCAATGTTGATGAATGGCATTATATAAAAATAATTATATCACTTTGTTTTGAGGATGTTGGATGAAAAGTTTGTTTTTTTTCATCATCAGTAAAATAAATGGACACATGTGAGTTAATTTATTTGAAAGTGTAAGCCCGTCTATACAATTAAGCAGTGTTGTTAGACTTTGTCCATCATAATGCATTGTCTGAAGGCACACTTATACTGTCTATACAGAATTCAATCAAATATGAGTTGGAGTGAGAGTAGGTGCTTGATGGGGTTATGTCTGATAAGATAACCATGGCTTGTAACAAGAAGGATCTTGTAAAGTTTTATAATTATTTTGGTCAATATCTAAGTAACTAACAATAATGTCCCTAAAGTAAATTTCTTACACTACTGGTCACAGTCTGGTGAATTAGCCTAAGTTCCAGCACAAGCACTATGCTGATTTATCTGCAGATACAAGTAACAAGCCTGTGCCTGTAAATACTACTCAGTCAGACTTAAACTGTGTAGTATTGCAATAATAGTGCTTTTGTTTATACAGTTTCTTGAATCCCCTGAATGCTAAAAGTGTGAAATTTAAACCACCAATTTCAACTTCCTATTTTACCCTATAAAATAAAATAAAAGTGGTACGACTTTCATGATAGTTGTTACAACATACTTGCTTTCAAAGTCTATACTATATACTGAATATATTGTTTAATGTACAATAGTCAGTAAGTATGTTGATATTTTCTGCATTCAATTTAATCCAGAATATGGATAATTGTTCTCATAAACTTAAGCACGCATGCCAAAGCAGTTTTTGTTATTGTTTTATGCTCATCCTGTTTCTGTTTCCATTTACTATAGTGCTACATGACCTTAGATGTCTAGCACATTTATTTTGCTTTTAACCATTAACCATTAACCTGTTCCTGTTTACTATTCAGCCTAAACTTCCACA